CGCAGTTTTTTTTTTTTTTTTTTTTTTTTTTTTTTTTTTTTTTTTTTTTTTTTTTTTTTTTTTTTTTTTTTTTTTTTTTTTTTTTTTTTTTTTTTTTTTTTTTTTTTTTTTTTTTTTTTTTTTTTTTTTTTTTTTTTTTTTTTTTTTTTTTTTTTTTTTTTTTTTTTTTTTTTTTTTTTTGGGGAAGACTGCAAAACAGGATAGGAGCAATAAATGCACCACAAAAAAGCTCACCTTAAGTCACCTCGGTGAATACACAGGTACAGAAACTGGTCTAACTTAAAAACTGATACTCCTCACTGTAACTGAGACGTATTACTAAGTGATATCAGAGAAAGGTACCCTGTTTAGTGTTTCCGAGCATTTTCTTTTAAATAAAAGTCTTTTTTGTGCAAAAGTCACTTAATTTTATGGTTAGTTGGCTCAAGGTCACTCGTGCATTCGCATCCCTTGGGACGCTATTGTTTAACTTTACCGAAGAGCTTATGAACGGAGCATCTCGACAGGAAAACAGAAGTCTACCTACTCCTGGTCGTACCAGATCATGTAAATAAAACACATTTAATAGCCTTTATAAGTTTTTATTCCTTAGTATGTATCAAATGTGTAGAACGATTCATGATAAATCCTTCTTTTTACCTTGACCAACGCCAAATCAAAGATACCTTATAAATTTTGATAGTTGGTTTGTGAATTACACTTATTATCACAGATGAATTTAAAACACAGTTGCTTTGATTGAAAAAGATAAATATTAGACCTATTACTAGACTTACTGCATAAATGAAGTTAAAAAAACCCACTGAATACAGCTGAAATTGTCGAACTGCAACTCTTTTGTACTAATATAGAAGCCTCATATGAATGAGACGCTTTTATCGATTACAAAGCATAATATTTCGACATCTACACTAATTATGTTATGAAAACAATAATGAGAGGTTATAAAAACTTTTAAAAAGAACATTAAAATAGTAAAGTGAACATTAATACATTGATCTTACTTTGCCTTTGGAATTCCCAGTGTAAATATACCGACCACGGCGATCATATGATGCAACGACACTGAAGTCATTCTAAAAGGTTAATCGAATTACACTCCATTAGATACAGTTACATGAAGTATTCATAAAATTGTAGATATATTCTAATTAACCTCTAATCACTGGAAGATATATATATATGACGCTGCACTAACGAACTTGTATGCAGAGTTATTAATATGGAATTAAAAAGTCTAATTTTAAAAACACACACCACAATTACCTCAATTCTGTAAAAACCTCTACCGTAAAGTTCTACAATGACATCATAGTCAGGAATACATGTTGCAGTAACACAACCATCTATTTTGGATGGAATGAATATTTTTCATGTCCTATTATGATATAAAAACCCAGTTGAACAGCGGTAGTATTGAAAACAGCCCCTGTTACACGTTTAAACTGTTATAACTGTAGCGGAATTAAATGAGGACGTTGTCGCCTTGTTCTGTCTGCGCCTGACTAATATGCCTATCTGCTTCTGGTACCTTCCGATTCAACGAACCACGCAAATATCAAAAGACAAAGTCTGGTCTGTGACTGTGTATTGTAGTACAACAACTACGACAAACTACGACAAAGAAACTTATTTAGGAAATGGTATTTATACATTTTTACAACCAATACAGACAGCTAACAGTATTTGAAATAATTGGTCGTAATAGTCAATAACAAAATGCGTGGGAAATGATGATATACCACTTATGCGAGATTAACAGTCGTTAAGATAATTGAACAATAACAAAGTGCGTGGGATCCTATCACCTCTCCCCGTTAAAAGTGTAGGACTTGCTTTTTGGATCTATTTGAAAAGGTTTCGGAGCTCTTCTTTGTCGAGTTGACCTTCGCGTGGTACTGGATGGAGTGTGATCTGCGTTCCGGGCTTCCGGCTGCGGAAGGATTTGGCGTCGTACGATAATGCAGCAAGAATCTATCCAAAATTTATTCTGTTGTTCCCTCCCCCTTCGGTTTTGCATAAGCACGCAGGCATTGCAAGAGAGACTGATCAGATACATGTCCGGGAACAACATTATATGGTGAGGACGAAACATTAGAGCATACTGAAATTAGTGGTACATTGAAGATATGGAGCTTGTTTAACCAGTCAAGACCAAGCAAATTCAAATCATGGTAGTTTGTGACGTAACATACACCATTGAACTGATTCTCACCAAACTGAACCTGGCAATTTATCTCACCCACGAGTTTCAGTAGATCTCCAGAGGCATTCTTAGCGACATGCTCGGTCGGCAGAATCTGTGGGCACCCAAGTTTGCGCCACGTAGTTCGGGAAATTAAGGTGATATCTGATGCCGTATCCAACTGAAGACGAATAGATTTGCCGTTAATACGTAGTGTAATGTACTTACGTTTGCTGGCGAAATCGACTTTGGAAGTTGTGAAAATGGTCTGTATTCGAGGAGATTGTTTCGGCTTGAAACGACTACTTCTGTTCTTCACCGAAGAATTTTTCTGTGGTGGACAGTAACCCTCTTTATGTCCAAAACGGTGACAATTACGGCATTTATGTTTCTTGAAAGGACAGAACTTGACAAAATGCCACGAACCACAGTGCCAGCACACAGAAGGAGGTTTAGCTGAATTCTGAGACTGACGTGCTGTGTGCTTAACGGTGATCGGAGGACTTTTCACTGTGTTAATTGAACCAAATTCAGACGACTGTCGTTTGCACTCCACCATAGCAGTATCGTGCTTCAAGTTGATTAAGCGTTGGCATTCTGCTGTCACCATTTGTAAAGTCATTTTCGGATCTTGTTCCACGAGTGACAGAAGTCGAGTTCTTATGTCAGTATCTTCTGGGTTCTTCAACCCACAAATAAAAATCAAACACTTGAACTGATCTGATGTCATTTCGTGTGGTTTGAACCTTTCGCATTCCTTGTTCACTTTGCCAGCGTAAGTGACATAATCATCGGAAGGCATTTTTGTCAACTGAAAACATTGATACCGAATATTAAACATGGATGACTGTTCACCAAAGATTTGTGATAAAATGGTGACTGTCTCATCAAATGATAATTCACGTGGGTTCTTAGGCAGAATGAAGTTAACATATCTGTTGTGCTCAACAGTACCAAGTTTTCTTAGTAACAATCGGACTTTGGCAGCATCATCAAACATGTAGCATTCAATACGAAAAACGTCTTCATAACGATTGAACCATGTATCAAAAACGAGACCAGATATTGGGTCGTAGTTAAACTCACTGATGAAATTTGAGATGCTTTCATAATTGTCTGAATGAGATGTTGATGGAACTTAAATGGACAGCTTCTGAGTGAGAGCTTCGATTAATTTTAGTTGAGCTGCTTCATTCTGAACTTGCTGTTGCTGCAAGATAGATTTGAGATCGTCCAGAGAGATAGACATTGTAATTGGATTGTAATTAACACAGTCAAAAATGTTCTATAGTTGCGCTGAACAGAATAAAACTCGTCGTCGCTTGCTTGTTATAACTGCAATGAATTAAAGTAAACCCCGTCGCCAATTTGTTGTAACTGTACGGGAATTAAATGAGGACGTTGTCGCCTTGTTCTGTCTGCGCCTGACTAATATGCCTATCTGCTTCTGGTACCTTCCGATTCAACGAACCACGCAAATATCAAAAGACAAAGTCTGGTCTGTGACTGTGTATTGTAGTACAACAACTACGACAAACTACGACAAAGAAACTTATTTAGGAAATGGTATTTATACATTTTTACAACCAATACAGACAGCTAACAGTATTTGAAATAATTGGTCGTAATAGTCAATAACAAAATGCGTGGGAAATGATGATATACCACTTATGCGAGATTAACAGTCGTTAAGATAATTGAACAATAACAAAGTGCCTGGGATACTATCATAAACTGTAGTGGGGGATTGACTGGAAAATCGCATTTTAAGAAAGGATGAGAGAAGCGACAGTAAGGTGTTTCTCTAGGACGACCAGCTAACTAATGTTAACTTGCCCTTGTGTTCATAGGAGATAGAAAATGTCAACTCGAAAAAGCAGTACCACACAGTTGATCCCATGAATATTTGTGTTTGGACATGCACATGACAATACCCTTTACCACCAGATAATTCCAGTGCGATAAGTATTAAGCACTGATTTTCTGAGCTCTGTTTTTTTATCAAATAAGTTTTTTTCCACGTTTTAGTTACTCCAAGAAGACATCAATTTCCATAGTAGGTGAATCCAAGAAGCAGTTACTGACCATATACCTCCATCAGAATACAACAATCAGTCTTAAAAGTTTCGAAGATCGTATTCTACAAAAAAAACCAACAAATCACATTGATGCCCCTTTATGAATTTAAATAGAGCTTTGCTTTATTTAGACCATAAGTGGGTTTAATTACTTGACATTACCCTGTGAGTCGTGAGCTGAAAGTACACTCAACACAAATGATGTGTAGTACGAACTTGTAACGATGAACGACTCAACAGCTACCAGCATTTCACACCTGGTGCTGACCCACATGGTTAAGACAAAGGTAGGCAGTTAAGTACGCTCGATAATGGACATACAGTCGTGCTACGTTCGGTCATCCGTGTACGGTCTTCGGTTAGTTTAACCCAACTTCACTCTTTCCAAAATATACTTCCTATTTAGAACGATCAAGAAGTCGTTATGTTTCAGCCTTGTAACTGTTCTCTGGTGGCATCGAATCGGTACATTTTGAAGTGGAAGACTATATATACATACCATTATATCATAGTATTTTATGTGTTCGTCAACATCTATTTTCTAAGGCCGCTGAGAAATGCACCACAAAGCATAACAAAGCAACCACGTTAAGTAGAAAAACAAAACTGTAAAGGAATGAGAACCAAGAAACGCAAATAAGCGTACTTATGAAAAGCATTCAACAAGCGAGTATTACTGTACACCATGGACTATGTTTAAGATAAATCATAGGTTTTCTAAATCTCGTGAATTTAATTTAGTTTGCGAATATGAAAACATTTATACACTGCTTTATAATACATAGAAAAAACCTCTAGTATTCTTACCTCATCTTCTGGTTGTATAATAGTTGGAACACCACTAGGAACACTGATAACAACTGGAGCATGTCGCATAGGACAAACAAGAAACTGTTCGCGTTTTCTCGCATTGAACTGAACTTTCATCACAGGACAGGGGAATTGAAATGTCTGCTCACAAGCACTGGACAAAACATCCCATATAGAGACTGTATTATCAGTTGATGCACTGAGGAGCTTTTTGCTGTCTCTACTCCAACTAACCAAGAGGAATGAATGAAAAACTATTGAAATACCTTAATGAACAAACTGGGTGTGAGTGAGCCACCAGTATTTTTGATATTCTTCTTGTGACGTGATCCCATATTTCTATTCTTCCATCATTGCAGCCAATAGCAATAAGGCTTCCAATACGATTAAACTGTAGTGTTATAGCATAAGTAGCACATCCAGCATCTTTGCTCCCATCATCTTTTTTTATTCGCTCCAAGTACCCATCTGCAGCCTGGAAAGTCAATATTATTCGCCAATCTTACCTCAGGATAATTTTGATGAAATGCTTCTGCAAAATAAGCAAAGATAAGTTACAAAATATAATAATCACCAAGAAGTTCTAAATTCATTGTAAAGTAACTTAAATGTCGAAATGCCGCACTCGAAGTCCAATCTTCAATACTAAATTTTTACTCGGTCAACATTTAATGGAGACAGTGAGCTGAGAATTTGACTATTGCTACACCTTCAGAAATGCGGAACTGATTATATTCGGGTAAACGAGGTTTTCAATGAGTTAAAGACAAAGTAATAAGGGAGACTAGTTCTAACTTTAATTCGCATCCGTCCATAGTATCATGAGTCTCAGCAACAGGGTAAGAAAACCTTAAGAATACAAGCCTACCTAATAATTATTCTCCAAATGTAATATACTGACCAACCGACTATAAGACTTAATAGTCTCCAAGTTGTAGTTGTCCGAAGATAAAGTCTTTCTTAACTGCTTCTAATCTTACTTGATAAGACGTAATGAGAGTTATGTATAAGGAGGATCATTGAAGTCACCAATTTCTTGCATCACTTCAAGTCCCTATCTACAGTAGTATTGACAAGACGGTTAAGCAGTAATCCACTCACCATTTCGACAGCTTTTAATGTCCTTGGCAGTGTAACAAAGTCATTCTAAAGTACCCCAAGAACGATTCAGGCAGAATACAAGAAATAACAAACTCAGAAATTGGGAAATAACAGACTGTCTTAAGTTCCCCACATAGGCAGTCAGAAAAAGTATCCTTCTAGAAATTAAGATTATATAGAGAGGCCAAGGAAGGTAAGATGACTGATATTAACCATTCAATTTAGTTTCGTCAAGAACCAATCGCTCAACAAATATGCAGGAGAAAGTGGAGATGAATTGAACACTCGCTGAGGAGGCCACTGGGTGACATCGCGCGTCAGGCCATCACTCGAGTGGAACCCGAAAGGGAAGCGGCGATTGTGAAGTCCAAGAGTGACATGGAGGAGATCGCGTGAAGAGGAGTTGAAACATTATGGACTAACATGGATGCAAGTGAAAAGTACAGCAGAAGAGAGAAGCAAGTGGAGGCGTGCAGTTGAAGCCCTATGTTTCACTAGGGACCCAAGGGAACAATAATAATGATATAATTTAGTTTCGCTATCAATGCCACCCATGGCACACGAACTGCAGTTACGAACCAGTTCACAAAAGCAGACTTTGTATCCGAAAATATTATTATTATTATTTCCTTTAATTCCTAGAGGAACATAGGGCTTCAGCCATGCGTCTCCATTGCGTTCGGTTCTCTGCTGTAGTTTTCACCTGGCTCCAAGTCTGCCCACACGCTTTCAATTCCTCTTCACATGATCTCCTCCAGGTCACCCTTGGACGACCAACTCGTCGCTTCTCTTTCGGGTTCCACTCGATGGCTTGTCTAGTGATGTCACTTGCTGGTTTCCTCAGAGTGTGTCCAATCCATCTCCATTTCTTCCTGCCTATTTGTTTCACGATCGGTTCCTGGTTGGTTCGCTCCCAGAGATTTTTGTTGCTGATCCTCTCCGGCCATTTGATCTTGAGTATTGAGCGAAGGCATTTGTTAATGAAGGTCTGTAGCTTGTTTGAGCTGCTCTTTGTGACACGCCAAGTCTCTGATCCGTATAGTAGTACTGACTTCACATTGGACTTGAAAATACGGATCTTATTTTTGACGCTGAATGCTGTTGACCTCCACATAGACTCGAGAGAAATGAAAACTTGTCTTGCTTTTCCGATTCTGGCTTTGATATCCTCGTCAGTTCCTCCTGTAGTTGAGACGATGCTTCCCAGGTAGGTGAAAGAAGTTGTTTCCTTCAGGTTCCTCCCATTTATGCTGATTGTTGTCGGTTGTTGCTGTTGATGTTGGCCAGGAATCTTCATTACCTCTGTTTTGTCTATGTTCACTTGAAGTCCTATCTTTGCTGCTTCTTCTGCCAATTTGTTGCTTTTCACTTGCATATCTTCCAGTTTGTGGGAAATCAGACATATATCATCGGCGAAATCCAAATCCTCCAAGGCTTTTGTGTCGGTCCATTTTATGCCTGTTTCCTCGTTGGTTGCCGTTGTCTGCCGCATTATCCAATCAACTGCAATCAGGAAGATCATTGGTGACAGTAGACAGCCTTGTCTCACTCCCGTCCTCACTTCGAAGGATTCCGTGAGCCTCCCGTTGTGGATTACTTGGCATGCAGCGTTGTCATACAGCTGTTGGATGAGATGTATAATTGTCGGCGGCACCCCGTAGTAGCGAAGTAGTTGCCAAATCACCTCTCGATCGACGCTGTCGAAGGCTTTCTCCAAATCGATGAAGTTGAGATAGAGAGGTGACTGCCATTCCAAACTTCGTTCAATGATAATCCGTAGGGTGGCGATTTGGTCAATGCATGACTTGTTCCTCCTGAATCCGGCCTGTTCCGGTCGAAGTTTTTCATGCAGGGTAGCGTGTTTGATTCTCTCCAGGATGATGCGACATAGTATCTTGCTTGGAATGGACAGAAGCATAATTCCACGCCAGTTTTTACATTGGCTCAAATCTCCTTTCTTTGGCAGTTTGAATAAGTATCCGTTCTTCCAATCCCTCTTTCCACACCTTCTCTAGTAATGGCGTCATCAAGTCCGCTGTTGTCTCTGGGTCTATTTTCAAAGCTTCTGCTGGGATTCCATCCGGTCCTGGCGCTTTCCCAGCTTTTAGCATCTTGATGGCATTCAGGACTTCGGATTTCGTCGGAGGGTCGATGTTCATTGGTAGTTCTGCTTCCGTTGTTGGTATTGTTGGACGCGTTGTAGGTGGCGGACGATTTAGAAGTCTTTTGAAGTGTTCAGCCCAGTGCTTCCTCTGTTCCACCTCTTTGGTGATTGACTTTCCATTGTCGTCCTTTATTGGCTTAATCTGTGTCAAACTTTTGCCCGAAAGGTGCCTAGTTGTTTGGTATAGTGTAGCGAGGTCTCCTTTGCCTGCAGCTTGTTCTGCTTCGTTTGCCATGGTTTCACAATATTTTCTTTTGTCTTCCCTGGCACTTTTCTTCACTCTTTTGTTCAGTGCATTGTAGCTTGCATTCAACTCCTGTTTCTGTTGCTCGTCGGTGCACTGGATAATCTTTTGTTTCGTCACCCTTCTCTCTTCTATTAGTTTCCAAGTGTCCGTAGAGAGCCACTGTTTGTCCTGCCTCTTTTTTCTGCCTAGGACTTCAGTGCAGGTTTGACTCCACACCGTTTTCAATTTGTTCCAGTGCTTTTCGACGCTGACCTTTTCGTTGGTGTTGATTTGTGTCTCGGCTTTTTCCCTTATGTTTGCAATGAAGATGTCCTTTGTAGCCTGGTCCTTCAGCTTTTGAGTGTTGAACTTGGCTTGTGGTCTATCTGCAGCTCCTGTTTCCCTGAAAGCTTTTAATTTGATTTGGATTGTCCCTTGTACGAGGTAGTGGTCTGAGCCAACGTCTGCTCCTCTTCTTGCTCTTGTGTCCAGTAGGCTGCGTCTCCACTTCCTCGATATTGTGATAAAGTCAATTTGGTTTTTGGTTCGCCCGTCTGGTGACACCCATGTAGCCTTGTGGATATCTCTGTGCTTGTAAACACTGCCACCAATCACTAGTTCGTTGAAGGCGCAGAAGTCGGCGAAGAGTTCTCCATTTTCATTCATTTCTCCAAGAGCTTCTCTACCCATGATGAGTTCTCTTCCTGTATTGTCTGGTCCCAGTTTGGCGTTCATATCTCCCATTAGTATTTTAATGTCGCCAGCTGGAGTATTGTCTATTGCTGCCTGTAGTTGTCTGTAAAATTCTTCTTTCGTTTCGAGGTCTGCGTTGTTGGTGGGTGCATAACATTGGATTATTGACACTTTTCTTCCTTTGGAGTTGAATCTGGCGGTCATTATCCTGGACGAGATCGCCTCCCATTGCATCAGGGCTTTCGTTGCCGTTGGTGACATCATGATAGCCACGCCCTCGGTGTGCGTGTGGTTATCTTCTGGGTGACCGGAGTAGATCACTGACTCTCCCGTTGATAATTTGGTGAGTCCACTTCCATTCCATCTGCTTTCACATATTCCCAGCACTTGGATTCTGTATCTTTTCATCTCGCTGGCGATCTGGGCAGCTTTGCCAGTCTCGTACATAGTGCGGACATTCCATGTCCCCACACAGACTTTTTCTTTTGTCGCAAGGAGATTGCTCATGGTGAAGTTTCTGTAGCAGGTTTGTTTACAGGGTGGGGTTGCTGGCCTCACGCCTGAGTTTCGTCTTCGGGTACCTGAAATGGAAGAAAGGTTAGTGTTGCGTGACCGCAGAGCCCAGGGGACATCTGCTTGAGGCCGGTCACACGCGGCCTGGTGTGTCTCAGTAGTGTACTTATCACTTCTGCCCTGTGACACGGCAGCAGAAAGCGCGGTCGTTGTTAATCCGGGCCACGGCCGATCCGGCATGATATTTCTTGGATTTGTTGGGTTCATGGGTTTGAATTGATGAATGATGGCGACTAAGTCCAGCCCCCACTGATACCGTCGCCAATGTATCAGTAGGTTGTGAGGTTTGAAAAATTTCGTCGGCGTCCGCTGCTACTGTCAACGGAGCTACTCAAGGAGCGGTGTGACGACCCAAGTTATCTTCTACTGATACCGTCGCCACAGTCATACCAGTAGAAGTCCTGTTAAGCTGCCGGTCAGCCTCGGGATCAAGCAAAAAAATGGAGAAAACCAACCGAAAATATTAATGAAGCGATATTTGAAAAAATATGACGTAAAACGAGGCGGCAGTGGGGAATTATTATTCGTTAAGTGGTGCATATTTTTCTTTTCCGCGAAAGCAACACTGTAAAAAATTGATTTTTCCAATGCAGTGGACGTGAACAATTAGCAATTTTATAAACTTTGAACAGAAATTCTACAAAGTCCACATCCCAGGCTTTACATACTTTACTTAATTGCATTTTAATTTCAAAGGCGCAAAACTATAATTAATATATAAGTATTCCAACTGATCGAATGATGTGTTACAAGTACATTCTTTTTAACACTAATGTCATCCTTGTTGGTCATGAAGATGTCTAGGAATGAGATGCTGCTATTTCTTCCCCTGTCAGTGGCAACACCTATCACAGGATGAATATGCTAACACTTCTAAAGGATGCTTATAGCTTCATTCTTACGTTTCATAATCAAAAAATATTTAATTCACGAAACGACAGTGAAATTCTACTTGGGTAATATCACACCCCAAACGTCAACTATGTATTTTGCGAGGAAAACATTGACC